CCTGTCCCTCACACGACGCTCTGCCGACCCTGGCTGCCCTCAAAATCATCCTCGGAGTCACCGCCCCGCCCAAAGTCGATGAAGATGCCCTCCGTGTCCGAGTCGGCCGACTCCAGGATCTGGTCCACCAGGTGCTCGGGGCTGTCGGCCAGCGGGGAGCCAGGGCTGGGCTGCAGTCTGCTGGGGCAGGGCCCCAAGTGGGTGGCCTCGCTGGCGAAGCCCTGGGGCTCGGGGCAGGAGGTCATCTCGGAGACGGAGTGCCGGCGGATGCCTGCGCCGCCCGCTGTGCCCTCGGCCTCGTGCTCAGCCACAGGGTTCAGCAGTGGCGTGTTGTAGCTCTTGGAGCGGACCACGGGGTTCTTGGCCAGGACGTCCCCCGAGCGGGAGCGTCGCAGGAGGTGCTTCTCTGAGGAGAGAGGGGACAGCGGGCGTCATGGGGGAACCCCACCCACTGGCACTGTCCCTAGCTGACAATGGTGCCTGCAGGGGCCAGAGGCCACCTGGTGAGTGCCTGCTGAGTGCCCCGCTCCGCACGAAGGGTCGAGGTAAACCCACTCACCACCACCATCAAGCCCATACAAACCCACAGCGACCCACGGGGCAGAGTAAGGAGCCTGGGGCACACTGGGTACTTGAGGGGCTGCTCACCCCAAGGTCAGTAGTTCAGAACCACCAGCTGCTCCCAGGGGGAAAAACGAGGCTCTCTATTCCTGTGAAGATGCACAGTCTAGGGAACCCACAGGTGTCGTTCGACCCTGTCCTGCAGGGTCGCATGGGCGACTGGGTGGCAGGGAGTGAGGAATATGAGGGGCGGGCACAGCAGAAGGGCCCCACTGGGGCTGTCCATCTTTACAGAAGTGGACGGCCTCGGCTTGCTCCTGCTGGGCAGCTGGTGAGTTTGAAAGGTGGATCTTTCAGGGAGCAGCTGAGTGCTTTAACCACTGTGCCACCAGCACTCCTTGGTGACAAGGTAGGGGGATGCGGATGAAGGCTCTGTGACACACACACACCCCCTTAGGTACTGGGGCACATGGGGTGTGACATTGGCCGAGGAACAGGAGGGGACCTGGCAGGAGGGGCAGGAGAGGTCTTGTCCCCAGCAGACACCAGCTCCTCCTCCTCCTGTGACCTTGTTAAGTCCTCTCCTCTGGGGTCCCAGCCTCCCTGCCCGCCCTGGGGGGGCGGGGGTGGGACAGGGGGTAAAGGAACCCTAGAAGCTGCCTGTGCCATGTCTCCATCCAACAGTCAGGGCTTTTGGGAGCCAGGCCTCAAGTTCTCTGACGTCCCAGTGTGGACGGGGTATGGGGGTGAATGATGGGCAGTGTCTGGGGGGACCCAGTGGATGTGGTAGGGGAGGGGCAAGGCCTAGGGGTCTTATGTGGGTGTCATATAGCCCCTGGACGTTGCCACCGGTGACCACGGCCTGAACACTGTCCAAGGGTCCAGTGATACTAGGAGAGTAAGGGAATGGGGTGTAAGGGGAACTGAATACAATAATCGACGTATGGGCCCCCTCCCAGGGGGATGGACAGCAGACAAATGGGTGAAGGAAGGCAGTGGTCGGTGTAAGACATGAAAAAAAAAAGATAAATTATCAAAGGGAGGGAAAAAATTAGGAGCAGATACCAAGGGCTCAAGTAGAAAGAAAATGATTTGATAAAGATGTATGGATTGTGATAAGAGCTGTAAGAGTCCCCAATTTTAAAAAAAGGGTCTCTCCTTGGCTTTTGTGGGGGTGGAAGCTGAGGGGGGACCCTAAGAGGTGGGGCCCTCTTGCCAGTCAGGCAAGTGAGGTAAGAGCCAGGCAGGTGAGTGAGGCAGGTCCCTGCAGTTTCTGATGGTGGCCTCTTGGGGGCAGGGCTGCATGAGGCCACCAGTTGGGGGCTTTGCCTGGCCTGGGAGCCCCTTTGGGGCTGGGGTCCCACCTGGAGGCACAACGCTCTCCTGGGCTGCAGGGCTGCCTGGTGGAGGGGGGTGGGGGGTTGTGGCTGGTGGTGGACTGGCACCTGCACTGAGATACTACTCTGAATGCAGGGAGGGAGCGGTGGGGGACATGCGCCCTCAGGAAGGCTGCAGGGACAGATTCCAGGGGCTCACCCCGCCCCTAATGTCACCTGCCCCCACCTCTGCTGGACTCCACCCACATCCTCAGGCTACCTGGGTTGCTGTCCGGAAAGGTGGCTATGAGCTTACAGGAGGGGACTGGGAGAGGGGGCCTTGGTCTCTGCTGAACGGGCACGCGGAGGGGGAGAGTGTGGACAGAGGGGACCTTGTGATGCCGATGAAGAGATGGGCGCCACCTGTCCAGTGAGCGAGCTGGCCTGCCTCTGACAGACACGCCAGCCCCAGGGCCCCAGAGCCTTCCCCACCCAGCCCCTGTGCCACCCTGTCCTGCACAACACAGAGCTCACCTCCTGTGAAGGGGCTTTTGGGACAGCCCTCCCACCATCCATGGGGTGTGTGTATGGGGTGGGGGGCAGGTTTGCTGAATGTCTGAGAAGGCTAATCCTGAGTTTTATCTGGCTCGGCCTCCACTCTACTGTGGGGTTCTGGGCAGGCTGCCTCGGTTGCCCATTTGTCCACTTGTCCACCCCTTCCCCCCAGGCCCAGGGGACCTACCCAGGATGCAGGAGTGTGTGAAGGACCCCTCGCTGGAGTAGAGGCCGTAGGTGCCCAGGTAGGGCGACACCACCTTCTGGATCAGGGTCTCCAGCCGCAGGTAGTCCTCGGTCACGCCCCGGGCCTCATGCACCCCCTGTGGGAGGAAGGAGGGGTCCAGTACACTGGCCCAAGCTGTGCCCCTCTCCCCTCCCTGCTCCCAGCCAGGCCTCCGGCCAGTGCAGTCAGACTGGGGAGCTGTAGGAGGCCCCACGGGCAACAGGTGACAGCACCAGCCCATCCAGGAGCTGCCCAGCAGCCACCAGGGACACAGCTGACTTCTCCTCATCCGCCTGGGGGCTTGTCACTGTGTAAGGAACCCCCGGCGCTGCAATCAGTGAACAGGCTCAGTTGCGAATGTCAGGTTGGCGGTTCAAGCCCACTCAGCCGTGCCTAGAAGGGCTGGCAACCCCCACCGAGAACCTCTGCCCCAGAAAGCCCTGGGAGCTGGGGTTCAGGCAGAAGCTGCAGGTCTGAGGTGGGCGGGAAGTGGCAGAGCAGGGCTTTCACCTGTTTGCCCTGACTATAGAGCCCTTTTCCGTGGAAAGGAGCCAGGGCCACTAGAGCCTGGCCATTGGAGACTTTCTCTGCTCAGGGTGTAGCAGGCCAGCTCCCCGTCCTGGGGATCTTGATAGGAGACCCGGGAGCCAGTGGGATTTCTGTCCCGCTAAGTGCAAGGGAAGGAGCCTGTGCAGAGGTTACGCATGGCGCCGCTAAGCTCAAGGTCAGCAGCTGGAAAACAGAAGCGGCTCCTTGGGAGAAAGATGGTTTTCCACTCACGTAAGGAGTGGCTGTCTTGGAAAGCCACAGGGCAGCTCCACCCTGTCCAGCATCATTTGATGGCAGCAAGTTTAGAGCTTGGAATGGGAGGGAGCGTCAAAGTTTGTGGAGAAACAGAAAAGAGGACAGTGTTTCCACAAACTTTCTGAAGACCCCTTGCATTGGGTGGGGCGGTGGGATGACAGAAATCACACTGGGACATCCCATTGCCCCCAGACTTTGGAAGCCCCTTCACATGCACTCCCTAGAGCCCTCCCCCCTAGGCCTGTGGCCAGGATTGTTCTCTGTATCCGTGAGACCATCTTGGGTTACAGGAGTCCCTAGGGTGGCACACAATCCACGGTCTGTACTTATCATAAAGCTGGTGGTTCAAAACCATCCAATAGCCCCTGCTTTGGGCAAATAACCCCATACAAGAATGCTCCAGGGGGGCCCCCAGGGTGGGGAGAGGGGACACGTCACCAGCCGAGATTGCCCTCCCAGTGGTGGTGGTGGGGTGCCTGGGCTTGGGTTTCATTTCCCAGGCCTGGTGGGCCCTGCAGCCAGGCCCTCCCCGAGTCAGAGAGAGAGCAGCCCAGACAGACATAGCATGCACACCGGGGTCTGAGGAGGCAAGGGCGCTGGGCGTAGAGGGGCCCGTACCCTTCTCCAGCCTCCTGCACTGAGAGAGAATGCACATCTGTTCTGCAAGCTCCCCCTTGTGGCATCTCCTGCAGTAGCACGAGGACCCAGACCCAGGTACCAGACCACCCATAGGCCCTGGCCCAGCCCTGGCCTCTTTCTTCAGCCCATCCTGTAGCTTGTAGCTGACGCCCGCCCAGGGGTGGGGAGCTGTCAGGTGTCAGCATGTCCCCGAGGCAGACCCTCACCTGTAGTACCAGCAGCATCTGCACGATGGCAGGGGGCACTCGGGCATGTGAGCGGGCCAGCGCGTCCTCCAGCTTCACGCCCAGTGTGACGGTGTTCCGGAAGTGCAGCAGGGCCAGCTGGCGCACAGACAGCTCCTTGCCCTGCAGACACCCATGTACCCCACTGGCTGTCACAGAGGGATCCCCAGGACCTCACCCACAGACTGTCATTGGCCCTGGGACCTCACCCCCAGATGTGTCCTTATCCCTGAGACCCAGGATGCCCCTCGAAGGCCCCAGACGTGCCCACTGCCCTGGATGCAGGGACATCGTCACCCCTAAAAAGAGAGTCGGTGAGGACCCTTGAGTTTTCAGCCAGCAGGTCAGGAGTGCGGGTGGCATGGGGACTCCTAAGCCTGGGGCTAGTGTTTGTGGTCGGGGGTCTGGGTCCTGTCCCGGGAGGGTCAGCCTGGACCTACCTACAGCTGGGGGTGGCCAGAACCCTGCATGTGCAGGTGTCTGACCCCAGCAGGGAAGCGGGTGCATGTTGTTCCTTAAAGGAACGGGGAGGCCTTGCTCCCCCTCCCAGCTCTGGGGCCAGACTTGGGATGATGGGCCTGCTGACTCTCAGCACCCACCCACCCCCACCTCTCTCTCCCCACCCTGCCTGTGAGGGTCCTCATTCCCACGTGACCAATGTCCCAAGGAGGGAGGGTGCCATCTATCCAGGGTCACTGCTATGGTCGGTGCTGGGCTTCCAGGGCCCACAAGAGGGGCAGTGGGAGGCTGTCCAGCAGTGGGTCGGCGTGCCTCCCTCCTGGGTGGGCCGGGTCTGCGCCAGGGGCTCTCACCTGCACCGGGTAGAAGATGGCCTGAAGGGCGGGCAGCACGTCGCTGAAGAAGAAGTCCCAGGTCTCTGCCAGCGAGTCCAGCAGCTTCTGTCCTGTAGGGCAGAGCTGTCACCGGTGCTCACAGCTGACCCAGGACGGAGGGAAGGGGAGGGGGCGCCCACCGGGCCTCTGAGGTGCTCATGGTTTATCCAGAACTGGGGATCACCTTACCCCTGGGGGTGTTTCATGGTTCATGGAGAACTCGGGGTCACTTCAGCCTGGAGGTGCTCACAGCTGACCCAGATGAGATGGTTACCTCATCCCCAAAGCACTCAGGACTCCTCCAGAACTCGGGGTCACCTTGCACCTCTCCCCAGGTGCCCACCTGAGGCTGACTTCTGGCTCCACCACTCAAGGCCAACCACTTAATCCTGCCATGCCTCAGTCTCCCCGTGTGAAAGGGGGTGACTGGAGATGAAACTGGGGCTCCATGTAGGTGGGGACTGGAAAATGCCAGCTGCCAGTGCCTGTCCTCGAGAGAGACTCAGAAAAGAGTCTCAGATCACACACCGTCTCACCCAGCCCTGACAGCCCGCCAGGCAGTCGGAGAATCCACTTATCCCCACCCCCACCCGCCCCGCTCCATCTGTCCACCATCTACCCACTCACACCTATCCAGCTCCCTCGCCCGCCTCCACTTCCACCATCCATTCATCCACCTCCCCATGCATCTACCCCTCATCTACCCAACCCCATGTGCCCACCCACCCATTCACCTACCTGCCATCTAGCGATCCACTCACTCACCATCCACCAACCCCCCACCCCCTACCCATTCCAAACATCCAGCCCTCAGCGATCACTCACTCACCATCCACCACCCACCTGCTCATCCCTCCACCCACCCATCTATGATCCACCCAAGTACCTACCCACCATCTCTGTCCTCTTCCCTGCCCCGACACTCCCAGCTCTCTGCCCATCCCTTCCAACAAGCATTCACAGGGCACTTCCTCTGTGTCAGGCCCTACCCTGGGAACTGGAGCCCCAGCAGAGCCCAAACAGCCCCAGTTCTATGATGCGACGGTCAGCAGGGCCAAACCCAAACCAAACTCACTGCCACTGAATCCATTCTGACTCTTAGTGAGTCTGAGGGAGGGGCAAGCAGAGAAGGCTTCTTGGAGGAGGGGACCCTTGGTCTTTTGGCCTGGAGAGAGCAGGGAGCTGGCATGCAGGACTGAGCAGGGCGGTGTCCCCACAATGCCCGCCTCTGGGCCAGGTAGACCCCTCCCAGGAGCCCCGGGATCCACTGGCTGGGCACAATCTGGGCAGTCGGCGCCCAGAGAAAGAAAACCTTTGCTTTTGTTGGAAACCTCACTGACTGCCTCCAGCCATCTGGTTTCCATGGGGATGGGAGGCCAGCAGGGAAGCTGCCTCTGCTGGCCATAGCGCTGGGGCCCTGGAGAGGGTCTGGTTTTGAACAGCCCAGACCCATCCAGCCTGGGTCCCCTTTCTTGTGGCCCACATCTGGCCCCGTTCTTCCCGAGCGGCTGAAGGAACGCCCAGCAGGCGGATACTGGCTGCCCCTGGCTTTGTGCACAAAGGCCCCTCGGTCCAGCGGGCAGTGTGGGGTGGCTCTGGCTGCCAGCCAGGCCCAGGCTGCTCAGCAGGCTGCTCTCCAGTCCTGGGGTGGAAACACCCGCCAGAGGGCTAGTGTCAAAGACTGCTCCAGACCCTCAGAGCCATGTGCTGGCTGAGCATGTGGTCTGAGGTGTGGGGGTGCTGACAGCACAGGATACGTCCAGTTCTGCCCCAGAGCCTCAGTATTGTCTTGGGAGAAAGGCCCTCTTCTGTTCCCAGGTCCCGAAACTGGGTGGGGAAGCAGCAGGCAGCAGGGTCCTGGAGCTTCCTCTGGGCCCAGACTAGAGTGGGAGGAGAAAGGGGATGTCTCTGATCCCCACACTGCATGAGGGTCGAGAGAGCCAGGTGTTTATCTAGACAGACCCTGTCCACGGGTCATCTCCTCCGGGAAGCTCTCACTGAAGGCCAGGCTGGAATGGACCCTTCCTCCCCAGTGCTCTGCCTGCCCTACACTGTGATGCTATCACACTACACTACCACCATCTGGTCCTTGCCTGAGGCCCCCGCTGGGCCAGGAGCCCCTCCAGGGCAAGGCCAGGGCTCCCTCCATCTCTGCCCCACCCCAGTCCCCCAGGGCCATGGGGAGCTGAGTCCACGGGCTGTTGGACTGGGCCCTGTTGCACTGAGGGGACTCTGACCCTGCCCTGGGCTCCGTGTCTGCAGGAGGCTGAAGGACTGGTAATGCCAAGGGCACTGCCGGCCCCTGGGTGGCCTGGCAAGCACGGACGCTGTGGGCAGTGCTCCACAGCCACACAAAGCTGCCCTTCTCTGGCTGTGTCCCTGGGTGGACGTGGAGCCAGGCAGTCAGGAATGTGCTGAGTCAGCAGTGGGCCGTGGGAGGCCCCCCCCTTGCTGGGTACCCAGTTTCCCCTCCCTCATGCTGCCCCTCCCCTTGCCCTCGCAGGCTGTGCGGGACCAGCAGCTCTGAGTTGGTCATGAGCTTGTGGGGCTATCTCAAGCCTCAGGCTACTCCTCTGTGAAATGGGTTAACAGACAGAATGGTGGAGGAGGGCTGCAGTGCCGGGAAGGCCTGAGGGCAGGCTCGGCCAGCTGTCCTCATTCATACCTGGTGCTGTGTGGCCTGAGCAAGGCTTGCGGCTGCACAGTGCCTCAGTGTCCCCATGTGGTCAGTGTCAACAACACTTGGTGAGCAGGCGTGGAACATTCGGGTTGGGCTGGGAGCAGGCACACGCCTGACCTGCCTATAGCAGTTGCTGTTCCGTAAGTCTTGGCCCTGGTGCGGGGCAGGCGCTGGCTGGGCCCCACCTGCACTCCACCCCACACCTCCTGCACTGCCCGACAGCAGTCTGCCACAGGAAGCACACATGAGCCCCTCAGAGGTGGGTCCCAGAAGCAGCGACTTGCTAACCCTGAGCCCTGCCAGAGGCAACTGGCGTGTGCTCAGGAGCCAGGCTGACCGGGGTTCGAATCCTGCCTCTGGCCCTTCCCTTCATCTGCTCCTGCCCCGTCAGTCCTCAGCGCACAATGGGGACCCCCGAGGTATCCATGGGTTCGTGTGAGCAGACCCTACCGCCTTGGTGCCGGCCCCTTCCCACGTGCGTCTTCCTCCACCTCAGCGGCCCACCCTCACCCGGAGGGCCCCCAGGAACTAACTCCCAGGGGTACGCCACCTGTGACGATGTCACTGCCCTGACACATAACAGAAGGCACGCTTGCGTGAGCTTGGGTTTTCTAGAACATTCTATAGCATGCTCTTATTATTCTGATACCCAAACATTTCGGAATGGCCACTGGAAGAGATCGGTAACACGTTCCCTGTGAGGCCTAGGGCTAGCCTGGCTCCTGTCCCTGCTGGCCTGGTCCTCCATCATCTGTCCTGGGGGGTCAGGGGCTCCCTGAGAGGCTTCTAACATGCCTCCTTCCAGGCCTGTTTGCTGGACATGGTCTCTGTCACTTGCCACTGAAGACCCCGGCCCGCTGACTCGTATTGGAGGCCAGGCTCGAGGTTTCCTGGTGGGCATGCCCTGGTGGATGGGCCAGCTCCGGCTCCAGTTTGCTCCTCTGAGGGCAGAGGTGGCATCCTGCCAGCCAGCCCTTCCAGAGCTCGGCCCTGAAGTGACCTCCGCCCCCACCATCCTCTGCTTCCGGGACTTGTCCTCCTTCCTGATGAAAGGATAGCAGTGAGTGCCAAGCCCAGTCCTCACAGGCCCCCAAGGCCCTTGGGGCTTCTCTGGAGGCAATGAGGTGAGCCCTGCTGGACTCCATGTAGGTGGCCAGATGCATTTCTGACACCATCTTCTCCAGGGTTTGAATCTTGGTGCTGCCTGTCCCTGCACCCCATTTCTGGAACCTCCTATGCAGTCCTGCCTCACAGCCTCTAGGGCCCGGCGGCCACCGTGACGTGACAGCTGTGCCTGCCCAGTCGGTGGCCCAGCATGTGGTCAAGCCACAGCAGCACTCACCCTCGTAGAAGTGGATCTTGTCCCGCAGGATCACCATGCCTTTGGTCAGCAGCTGGTTCTGCAAGGAGGACACAGGGGCCTTGATAGCTGACCGGCTGGCTGGGCAGGCAGCCAGCAGGGCCCTGAGCCTCAGCAGGGCAGGGAGGGCTCACCATGGACCCTCAGCCTGCCCTGACCCCACCTATGCTGACAAGGGTGCCCCCGAGATAGGTTGAGGGTGTTCGTGGCAGAGGACCTCAGTGGGAGGTGGTCTAGTGGAAACATGCCTGGCCAGTAAATGACTGCCTGCACAAGGGGCCTACATCTCGGCCAAGACCACAGCAGGATCCCGGGACCGGTCACTCGGACTGGATCCAGGTGGACACAAATGGACAGCCCTCGGTAGATGAGAGCCTGTGCTGTTGAGACCACAGCAGAAATCCCAGGGCCAGTCACTCGGACTGGAGGTAGACACAAGTGGACAGCCCTCGGTGGATGAGAACCTGTGCTGTTGTGGTGTGGCCTGGGGCCCATTCCTACTCACAGTGGGGCAGGGCATGACAGAGGACCTGCCCAGTGGGGTTGGAAGCTATCCCCTCTAGAGGGTACAGGAGCAGCTTGCCGGGCCTGCCTCCTACAGGGCTCCTGGGTGGGGTTGAACCGCCAGCCGCCCCCCCCTCCTACTTGGGCTCTTAACCCTTACCTTCCCAGGGCCTAAGAGGGGTCTTTGAAAACGTTTGCAGAAGATGGAATCTAAGAGCTAAGGGCAGATGACGGCAGACGTCGCCTGGAATGATCGTGAGGATGGCGCAGGACCCTGTAGTGCTGCGTTCTGTTGTGCGCAGGGTCATCATGGGCCGGAGCCGACTCATGCAACCATAGTTAGGTTACAACGTAAGATCTCACCTAGCTCCCTTCTGACCCACTGAAGAGTTGTTTCGGTTTAGACAAAGTGAAGGGGAAATCCAGGTGGAGTAAGCCGCTGGTGGCTCCCCTGTGACCAGACAGGGCTGTGAACAGCCTTGCGATCACGATCACGCAGCGTACAGTGGAAGGTGGATCATGGCAGATGCAACTCGGTTAAAATGTAACACCTTATCATTTCAGCTCCCCTTTGACCCATTCTAAAGTCGTTCTATTTTTTTAAAATATTTCCTACTTTCTTTTGATTGAGGTTTTCTTCTAGCTAATCTTGTTGCTAGTTAAGCTTTTTCTGGTATGTTATTCTGTATATGAAATCCAGGCGAGGTAAATGTAGAGAGACAGTGACTGGATTCCTGGTTCCCTGGGGGTCTGGCTGGGGAGGTTGTGGGGAAATGGGGAGCTCGTAACAGTGAGTGCAAGGAAGAAGAAAATGTTCTCAAACTGATGGTGGTGATGCAGAACCAACTCTTCTCGATAGGACTGAACTATTAGATTGTGTGGCACGTGAATTATGTTCCCATAAAACTGTTTAAGCAGAAAAAAATAAAAATAACATGCAGTGAGAGTTGCCAGTGAGCTTCCGAAAGGCCCTCAGAGCAGAGTACCATTCAACCATGAAAAGGACGGGCAGGAACCTTGAACCCGGGACACTCAGGGACAGGAGACAGACAAGGGGTCAGTACTCCCGGAGGCCATCCCCAGGGGGCTTTGAAGAGACAACGGGCAGCACAAGGAGCCGCTGGGACTGGGGGCTCAGGACCGTGGTCTCAGGGTGGACACCAAGGCCGACTGGCACAGCATGCAGGGCTCTGCCTCTACTTGGGTGATTAGATACGGGGGTCTCACAAGCTCGTGACAGGGCGGGTCAAGAGGTCCACATCAGGACCCCCGGGTAATGACCTGGTGCTCTGGAGGAAAGAAAAGAAAACGCAAAGACACCTACACACAGTTCGTCCCAGTGGAGGAACGGACCCTGCAAGCCTCCACCACCGGGACCTCGGTGCCCGGCGACCATCCCCACTGCTGAGAGGAGCACCCAAGAATGGAGGGAAAGCCCCGGACATCAACGAGACCTGGCTTACTGGTGGGATAGAGACTTTGGACCCCTGCGACGATGGCCCTCTGGAGCAGAGGTCAGCTCTGCATTTGAATCATCAACCACATGAACTCAAAGGGCAGCACTGACCCCAGGACCAAGCTCAGAGGGCGAGGAAAGGAGGGGGAATAGGAACCGCAGGGGAGCAGTGGGACCAGTGGTCGTCCTTTTCAGGGACAGGTCTACAGCAGAGGAAACGAAGGGTGCGTGGACTGCTGAATGGGAAACTGACCATCTGCTTGGTCAACCGTCATGCGACTCAGAGCAAAATGAGAAAATCAGGACAATCAGAGGACTTCCCCAGGAACTTCTAGAAGTCCTCAGTGCCCAGGACAAGCCAAGCCAGCCAGTCAGACAGCGGGTCAATGATCTTCCAGGGACTAGAGGACGGGGCAGTGGACAGCGACCAAGAAACAGCAGGCTCAGGTTCCTTCTGGGGTGATGGGATGTGCCGGGACATTAGGCAGTGATGGTGGCAGCCCCACCCCGCTAACATGACAGTCCCCTGACCCGTGGATGTCCAGCAGTAGGTTTTATGTCAGGTGGCACAGCTGTGACATGAGCAGTGGTGCCCAAAGCCACGTGCTGCGAGAGCACAGCTGCTGTCCTCGCGCTGGGTCTGCGCATGGATGCCCCGCAGGGATGGCCCGGGCGCCCACCCCACCCCACGGAGTGAACTCAGCCGCTCCCTGGCCTCAGGCTGTGTGACCTTGTGATCTCCCTGAGCCTGTTGCCAAGGGTGACACTGCTCTGCAGGCTGGCTGGCCCCGTGGGGAGAGTGGACGGGGTTGGCACAGGGTGGGTCAGGAGACCCAAACTCGGAAACCGGTCACAACCTGAGCAGGGGGACCCGGAGTCCCCACCATGGCCAAGCTGGCACCACGATGTCACCTGCTGTCTCTGGTCTTCCCTTAACTGGTAGGAAATGAGACACAGTGGAGTGGGGGTCCCATAACCCAGGCAGACCATGGGGGTGGGGGATACTTACTGCCCAGCCAGCCACCCAGTCCTGTGCCCGCTGGAGGTCACTCACCTGCAGGTACTCGGTGAAGAAGGACCCCAGCTCCGTCTTCAGCAGCTGCCTGTGGCAGAGGGGCAAGAGACCGCGGGGGTCACCAGGTCTCCTGGGGCTGGAGTGAGGGTGGGGGGGGGGTCTCGCCCCTCTTAGTGGCATAGAGGGCAGGCCACAGTCCTGGCTCATCAAAGATACACCCCACCCATACAGCTGAGGTGCCTGGTCCACAGCGGGGGCCACTGCCTCTAGGGAGACACTGGGAGGGCTGGGGTTCCATGACCAGCCAGCTCTCTGCTGCCCTCTGCCCAGGCCCAGAGCTGGGCAGGCCGCCACCTCAAGCTGACACGTGTCCCACAAGAGAGGGGCTGCACCCCACGCCTGTGGATGTAACTGGGTTCTCTGCTACATTAATAAGGCCGCCCGTACAGAAAGCATCTTGAACAGGTGAGGCACAGAGGACAGGAGCCTGCACTCACATGCATGCAAGCACATATACACACATACACACACACACACACATATACAAACACATGCCATATGTACACACAAGCACACACACACCACACATGCATGCACACCACACATGCACACACACATATACAAACACACGCCATATGTACACACAAGCACACACACACCACACATGCATACACATCACACACACATGGACACACCAATGCACACGCACACATGTACACACACCACACATGCAAGCGCACACATACCACACATGCATACATGTACACATGCGTGCACATGTACACACACCTCACATGCAGGCACATCCATGTACCGTGGCCGAGAGATAGGTGTCCTGACAGCCCGGGCTGCTGTCACCACCTGCCCTTGTGCTCTGGCCCATGAGCAGTGGCTAAAGCACGCAGGTAATGGAAAGGTGGGCTATTCAAACCTGCCGGCTGCTTGGCAGGAGGAAGATGAGACTGCCTGCGTTTCTCTAAAGAGTCGGGCTTCGGAAACCCGTGGGGGAGTCAGAGTCAATGTGAGGACAACAGGGATTCCCCTGAGAAGGTGCTCTGGTGGTGCAGTGGGGAAAGTGCTCTGCTGCAAACTGGAAGGTCAGGGATGGAGCTGCACCAGGAGTTGGGATTGGGGTCCACAGATCAGCCAGGTGACACCAGGAGCCCTGGCTCATTCGCCCAGAGCTGCCTTGGACAAAAGGCCAGGTCTCACTCCAGAAACCCCACCATGGCGGGGCCCACAGGGCGGCTCGGCTCTGACTGGACAATGCAGGTGGGGGTCCGAAATGACACCCATTCGCCTGGATGGAGTGAATGGCTCTTGGGCCTGGCCAGCTGTGTGACCCGGGCAAGTCACTCGGTTTTTCAGAGCAGCACGACTATGCATGTCTGGCCCCCGCAGGGGCAGCTCCTCGGGGCTCCCTGTCCCCGGCCTCTCTCCGCCCGTCACAGCAAGAGCGCAAGTCTCAGTTTGCCCTTCTGCAGAAGGGGTCGTGCCCACGGCCTCTCTCCGCCCGTCACAGGAAGAGGGGCCCCAGATGGCAGCTCCTCCTGACAGAACAGACTGGGTGGCACTCAGCACTGTGGGGCTGGGGGTGCCATCCCCAGCCACGGTCGGGGTCTGGCCCTGCTCCCCTGAACAGTGGGGTGGGGCCTCAGAACCAGGTATGGGAGTGCAGCTGCTGGCCCCGTGCCCCAGGGCGGGGCAGGAAACCGAGGCCTGGCGGTTAGTGCCCTGGCCGGCTGGCCAGCAGCTGCACAGGGTGTGGGCCTGGGCGTGGCCACTGGCGGCCTGGGGGTAGGGACGCACACTCACCGGACACCCTCGTTGAGGCTGAAGAGTTCATGGTCAGGCAGTCCTTTGCGCTGGAAGACGGCGACCACCCCGTTGTGGATACTACAGGGGGAGGGGGAGAGCTGCTGTCACTTCCAGCCCCCCAAACCCAGGAGGACCATGGCCACCCATCACCCACCTGATGTGGATGCTAGAGAGCTGCTGTCACCCACTGTCCCCACTTCCCATCCTGGACACTGTGGGTGAACTGCCTCCACCCCTCTCCATCCACCCAGCCGCCAGGGCCCAGACAGCAGGTGAGGGGGGCTGGGGTAGTGGAGATATCTGATCCCCCCCAGCAGGAAGGCCTGAGCTGCATGGCTGATAGTCCTGCCCCAAGTCTCAGCTCCCATCGCCCCCTGATCTGTGTCCTGGCCCTGTGCCACCAGCACCTCTGTCACCTCCTCCGGACATGGCTCATTCGAACAGGACTGCAGCTAAACCTGGGCCTGTCATGCTTCGGGGACACGTATTCACCCTGTGTTCTGAAACCACCCCTCCCAGGCCAGGCACGAGGGGCACCCTCCCCGCAACATAGCCAAGGCCTGTTTGCTGAGCCTGCTCAGCCCCCAGACTCTCACCCTCACCCCGACACTCGCAGTGAGCCCCTAATTGCCCCCACTGCTTTCCTGGAGCCACACCCGCTCAGCTTCTTGGGAGGGTCCATCACTCTGGGCACTGCCAACCCTGCCCAGCATGCTGTCTACACTTGGGTGGGAGGGCACACTTGCTGCCGGAGGAAGAGTTCAGGTTTTGCAGACCATATGGTCTGGTCACGCAGCTCCGCCCTCGGACGGCAGTGCACCAATGGGCTGTGTCCCAACATAACTACAAAAACGGGTACCCAGCCAGCCTGGGCCAGAGTCCACGCCAAAGACCTCCTCCCTATGTGTTCCAAGGCAACCCGGGCCAGCCCTGCTGACCCCTGTCCACCCTGAGCTGTCCCTGCTGACCCCTGTCCACCCTGAGCTGTCCACGCTGACTTTGAGCGGGCCTGTCACCAGCGCCCAGGGCCCCAGGGAGGATGGGGCACTGCCCAGGCTCTTCCTGTGGCTCTCCGTCTCCGTCCTTCTTGCCAGCATGCTGCGACTGGCCTTCACATTGGTCAGCAGATAGATGCCGCTCTGTGGTCAGGTCAGTCCCTCCTCCGACTTAAAACAATCATTTCAATGAATTTCTTCTCCTCCTTATTTTGTGGTTGCGCACACACACAGCAGAGCTTGCAACCATTCAACAGCGTCCACACTCGATATTTGGTGACATGGCCGACATCCCCCGAGACTTCACCCCGGACCTCCGGTCATTCTCCCCATCTCCTCCGAGCTGCTCCTCCCTCATTGCCCCCCAAGGCTCCCACCTCATCTTTCGAGTTGCCGTTGGCAACTGGGTCACATCCAGCCAGGGCTTAAGGAGCCCTGGTAGCACTGTGGGTAAAGCATTGGGCTGCCAACCACCAGGTCAGTGTTTGAAACCCACCCACTGCTTCTTCGGGGGAAAAACAGCAGCAGCAGCAATGAGAACATAAGCAAAACCACCTGTCTGCCCTCCCAGAGATCTACAGGATGGGAAAGAAACCCTTAGCAGGGCCACTGCGAGTCGTCGCCCACAAGGTGGCAGAGGGTGACGTGGCTGTGGGGTGCCCTGGAGTTAGTCTGGGCCCAGAGCAACCCTTCGTGCAATGGACAGAATGACGGGTCTGCACCACCCTCACAAGTGTTCTTCTGTGTGAGCCCACTGTCGCAGCCACTGTGCAGCCCATCTCTAGGACGGTCTCTCTAGGTGGCCCCCCTGGCCACCACTACTGGGTCTGTAGGCGGCTCTTGAAGATCTCATGCTCAAGGTTCGCGCACATCCTTTACTGGTAAAGTTAGATGACGGTTTGGTTTTAAGAAGACCTCAAGGGATAGTTTTAGTTTAAGGTTAATGGCAGACAACCGTCTTAGGGCGTTCTGCCAGCCTCCACGGGCCCAGGAAGTTTGGATCCCGTGAGAATATGGAAATCTGCTCTGCAGAATCCTGCCAATAACTCTGTGGTCAAAATGCCCAGTCACGGTACCTGGGCACCATCCAGTTCTGCTAGTTAGACCCCAGGTACACAGGGCCCTGCACTTTTGTACAGTGCGGGGTGCTGGCCCCTGGCTCTGAGGGAAGGCTCCTTGGGGACTAGATTAATCTCGGATGCCCCCCTCTCCTCCAATCTAATCAGTCCTGAAGTTCTTCCCATTTCTGCAGCCTGGAAGCTCCATCCACCCTTCCTCTTCCTGTCTAGCCTCACTCGCTGCCCTCCATGGACACCAGCCTGTCCCTTCAGTCCACCCTCCACTAGGGCAGGGCCACTTCTCTGTTCAGGACCCTCAGACACAGTGCCCCTCCTGGATGTGGCACTCCTGACTCCTGGGCACCAGCTACCTGACTGGAGGTCTTGGACCTGCTATCCCTCCTACCCAGAAGGTCCTTCTCCTCTCTAGGCCCGGGGCAAGCGGAGATTCATTTTGGGGGACTCGGTTCAGAGGCCACCACCTCTGTGAAGCCCTCCCTTCCTTTCCCCACCAGCTGATGGGCGGTGCCTCACGACAGGCTGGCTACTGGGCACAAGCTGCAGGGCAGTGGCCACTGCTCTCCTGGGGCCTTGCCACCTTCTTCAACTCCACTCCTCCCCCTGCGTGGCCTGGCTGCCTTTTCACAGATGGCCACTGCCCCTGTAAAAACTGGCCACTCCCCTGCCCGGGAGCATGGAGCACGCGGTAGTGAGGCCCGGAGTGCAGGCCCAGCAGCAGCTCCAGCTCCCCTCTCAACCTCCCACGTAGAGCCGGGTGCTGCTCTGAGACTTCCCAAGAAGGGTGCTTTCAGGAACAGAAACACTTTTCCCCCAGTTCAGGGGCGAAAGTCTAAACCAGCCCGAGTATGGGGAAGGCTTCTCTGACAGCCCTGAGGGGAGTCTCTCTCTCTGTCAGCTCTGGACGGAAGCTCTTGTTGCAGCTTCTCTGGGTTCTTCTAGGAGTCCCTAGGACAGCTCCACTTTGGGGTGGGAGTTAGGGTTTGAGGGGGAGAATGGGGAAGACAGGGAGGATGGGGAGGACGGTCAGACTGGGGAGCAGGGTGAGTATGAGGTGCAGGGGGAGTATTGTGAGTATGGTGAGGAGGAGGAGGGGGAGAAGGGGGAGTTTGGAAGCAGGGTGAGGATGGTGAGGAGGGTGAGTATGGGGAGGAGGGGGAAGGCTGGGCAGCGTTTCCTTCTGCAGTATGAGGGGCACCATGCGCCAGAACCCCTGGCTGGCACCTAGTAGCAGCAGTCTTTCTGGAACACTGTGGTTTGAACCCATCAGCTGCCCTGCTGGCTGCTTCTGGTGGCAGCCTGGGCACCCCATGGGGGCTGTGCTACACTGTCCTACAGGGTCGTCAGGCGTTGGCATCCACTTGATGGCAATGGGTTTGGGCTCTGATCTCTCAGACGTACAGCTCAGAGGGGTAAAGAAGGCTCCCGGGGGGCCGGGGCTCCTTCCACAGCCAGGGGCCACCTCCAACTTCTAAGCAAGAATGTCCAAGACCATGCTGGGCCCATGCCACACACGATCAGGGTCTGCTCACCAGGGAGTTGGCCCAGGCCTGGCATGCCCAGTGACACCAGGTCTCCCATCTGTCAGGCGGGCGCCATGAGCACCCCTGCCTCCAGGTGACCACGAGGAGGGCATGGCATTAGGTGTGTGGAGCCCCTGGCCGGCCTGGGGGACAGGCCTTGGGGCCTGGTCATCTCACCCCCATCAGAACTCCTCCAGACCAAAACCATTAACACCCTGTGGTCTGAGGTTAGGGGACCAGCTGTCTCCCCTGGAATCAATCCCAGCCACTGAAACCCACCCTGGCCTGGTTCAGCCTCACTGGTGTCTGCCACGTTCTCCCGTCCTTGTGGCTAGGCCAGGCTGAGGGGCAGCCTGGACAGGGGCCTGGAGGCAGAAGGAGGTGATGAGGCAGAGGCAGGGGGGGGGCTCATAGCCCCCAGGCTGGTCCTGTTGTCTCCTTCCTAAGACAGCGAGGCTCCTCCTGCCTCTGTCCCACCCTCTCTGCCTCTCCCACTATACCTTCCAGGAGGTGACCCTCGCTCATGTGGCTTTGGGTCCTTGTGTCCTAAGATGGTCCCACTGGGTCCTGCCCCAACCACCCCTCGGTGCCAGCTGCCTTCTCTGGCCTCAGGCTCTGCCCCAGGCCGTTCCCTCTACCCCACCCACCTGCTTCCTCCAAGAAGCCTCCCGGGACTACTCCCAGAGCGGGTCAGGCCCCTCCCTCCCTAACAGCTTTGCTGGGTGTGACAGCCAAGTGGCCCCTGGAGCTGTTTCCGGGAGAGAACAAGAAGGGGCCTCCGTTGTCCCAGCCTCTGTGTCAATCCCTCTCAGGAGTGAGGGTCTTCCTCTTTTTTGCTGGCCCTCGACTTTTTCAAGCACCACGGCCACCCTGTCCTGAACAGAGCAGCGCCCAAAGGGCGAAAATACCCTTCCATCCATTCCAGCCCGGGGCTCCACACTGAGGCGACCCCATCCCCACCCCCACCAGCTTCTAGCTCTTGGGGAACATACATTCGTCTGAATCCCCCCCCCCTCACCGATGGGCTACAGCAGTGACAGCCGCCCTGGCAGCCTGGGTTTGCATCTCAGCTCTCCGCTTCCTGGCTGTATTCTTGGCCAGACGCCCTAACCACCCAGGCCGAGTCCCGAGCACAGGATGAGATAATGACAGAGCCTCCTGCCCAGGGAAGGAGCCCGGTGGCACTGTGGTTACACACAGGCCGCTAACGGCAGCAAGGGTAGAGATAGGAAACCACCAGCTGCTCTGAGGGAGAAAGATGAGGCTTTCTACCCCAGTAAAGTAAAGTTACAGACTTGGAAACCCACAGGGGGCAGGTCCTACCGTCCCCCTCCCAGGGGAAGTCCTATAGGGTCGCTTTGTGTTGAAACTGATCTGATGGCAGGGGGAGTTTGGTTTCCTGACTGCCCAGGGGAGGAGCCCTCCAGGGGGTTGTAGTTACATGGTGGGGTGGTCACTGCAAGGTCAGCAGTTTGAATCCACTAGCTGCCCCGAGGGAGAAAGACGGAGCTTTCTCACCCTGTGGAGAGTCGCAGTCTCAGAAACCCACATAGCCACCCTGTGGGCATCGCCTCGATGGCAGTGGGTGGGGAGAAAGAGAAAGCAGGTGCAGAGGCGAGCTACCAGCAGTGAGCCCAGCACAACTGAAAATGACCTCACTGCCATCTAGTCCACTCTGACGCACGGTGACCCTATAGGACCGGGAAGAACTCCCCCGTGCATTTCTGAGGCTGTAGCTCTTCATGGGAGTAGAAAGCCTCATCTTTCGCTCTTGAGCGGCTGGTGCTTTTGAACTGCCGACCTCAAGGTTAGCAGCCCAACGTGTAACTACACCACCAGGGCACCCAGAAGCACCCACATCCAGGCATGCCTGCCAGCCCATCCCTGGCAGAGGCCGGGTTCATATACAGTGCCGTGGCCCACCATCCCACCCCCTCTCTAGGGCCTTGCGCCCAGGTCTTGGCAAAGTCCACGCTGGGAAAACAACTCCCCTGCTGTGAGCTGCGGGGGTGGGTGGTGAGCTCACATGACTCCTTGTCTCCCAAACTGGAAGTGAAACCCACGAGTCCTGCCTGGGGCCTCCCAGAGCAGGGGGTCTGTGGAGTCAGCTCCGCCCTGCCCATCCACTCGGCCTCGGTG